AATTGCCTATGTGTGGCATAGTTCTTAACTGAGAGGATTTATGTTTTATGTGGAAACCAAGCTTTAGAAGATGATTATTATCAGGAATATTTGAGTATCTGAAATAACAGAGACTGAATTGTTATTCCCACTGATAGAACTCCAGGTATTTTATTATCCCAGACTAGTGCCTAAATCTTCAGGTGTAAATAAGTTGTACAATCACACATGTATCTACATTGAACAGGCACATACTTGTCAGATATAAAGAAAAGATAAATTAAAAGAAATAAAAGATTGTGTAACAAAAAGATCTAGTACTTCCCAAAGTGCTTATCTCATGGCTTTTTCTTTCTCCTTACAGTGTGCGGTCTGGACAAACCAGGAATGTTGAAGCAGCGAAGGTGTCAATGCCAGGCCAGATCAAGAAGTGAGTGTAATATGTGTCTTTTATTTTTCTGTATCAGTATTTCTCTCTTTTTGTTGTCGTTCTTTTTCTTTATTTATTTCATCTCTTTATCTTTTTATTCTGTATTTTTTGTCATCTATGTTCATATTTTTTATTCTCCTTTTTTCTTCTTAATTTGGTTGTGTTAGCTTCTGGGAAAAGACATTTTCTTATTTTCCTGTAATATTTAGACCTTGTTTATTCATGTAATCAAATGTGTATTGGCTTCCAAACTTAGTAAATGGGAGGATAATGATTAACCCATTGCCATTGTACACTTATGATGTCCACTGCAATTTTGATTTGTGAATTTTACATGAAGATGGCTCCACAAATGCTCAGTCACCAAGGAGTCAATTGGAGGGCCTAAATCACACCATTTCTTGTTTAGTTTTTTCTAATGCTGGACATTATGATTATCATAATGTCATTAAAATCAAGGAAAAGAGAAAAAAGGGAGATATGTATGACTGGTAATTTACTCCTTGGTGACGAAGTTCTTGTGGAACCATCTATGTGTAAATAAAATTGATAAACTAAAGTTACAGTGGAGTGGACATGGCATGTACTCATGTGCCATCTCTGGCAGCAATGGGTTAAGATGAAAATGTTAGTTGTAACTAGATACCCATTCTTGTAACAGATAATGAACATTGCTGTAATTACTACTGAGGAATAATGCTTCCTGTCATAACTTGCCCTATTGCAAGTAGCCCATATTACAGGCTCCCATACTTTTAATAAGATTTTCTTCCTTTTCTCTTTTATGCTTCTGTTTGTTTCATCACTATGATTCCCTGTTCTTGTTGATTCTATTCTCATTTCATGTATGTTTAGTTTTCCTTTCCTTTTGTGACTTTGTTTTATTAGTACTTCTATCTCCCTGTTGCCTCTTGCAGCAGAGCATATGATTTATATTGGAAATATTTATATTGTCAAGAATCATTTTGTTAGTCATCCAGTTTCTCAGTTATTTACCATGATTTTTTTAAACCTTTTTGTATCCTGAAGCTCTGAGACTGGCTGCTGTGGCACACATGACGTGGAATCCTCCATAGACAGCCTGAACCGCAACCAAGAGCCCAGCAGTGAGGGAGCGGTGCGAGCGGATGTCATTCCAGAGGAAACGGCTGAGAATGATGGAAACTCAAGCTCAGAATCCTCCCCTCCACAGCCAAACTCACCAACAGAGAATGCACTGCCTGTAGGTCCTAAGAGAGATTAGTATATCTTTCTTTCCTTGCTTTTTTCTTCTTTTTTTTTTCTTTTTATATGAAGTTTAAAGTAAAATTGTGATTTTTTAGATTTTTATGTTTATTATTATTATTTCATTTTATTTATTTGTATTTTTATTTTTATCATGTATTTATTTCTATTTTATTTTATTTATTTATTTACTGATGTTTTTATTTATTTATTTATTTATTTATTTTATTGTATTTTATTTTTTTTATTTTTTTGAGGTGGAAGGGAGGGTCAGTTCTGCTTTTTCAAGCAACTCTTGGATGTATGGTTTCAAGCAGTTCTTGGATATAGTGTAAAGAAAAATATAGAAAGGTTCTTCCATTCTTTCATAATCAAACTTGTTTTGTTCCTAAAACTTAGAATTATTGGTGTATATTCATGATATATTTGTTTTGACTTTTCTAGTAGTCACAGAGTTCACTCTAGTTGTCTTTGCTTAGTTAACATATCTGAAAACAGTAGGCATATTTCTCGTTGAAGTGGACATTCTTTTCTCTACTTTTCTCCTTTACTTACAAGATATGATATCTAAAGAGTACAAATTTCATATTATGATCCCTTATTTCAGGTGAAAAAATATACATGGAGGATAAACTTGGCTGAGACTGAAAAGTTTTGGCCCGGTTGGTTCCAAGGCTTGTCCAGTAAATTTCTCTCAAGCTCACCAGCAAAGATGTTATTGCTTGCAGGGATTGATAGACTGGATACTGACCTAACAGTGGGACAGATGCAAGGTTTGTTGTTTTCAATTTTTGGGAGTGAGTTGATGTGTAATATGGTTATTGGAAATGAAGGTAGTTTGAAAAGCAAAAAGGAGGGAAGAGGAAATAGCTTTGTTATAGTGGTGAATGAATTATGCATAGCAAAACTGAGCAGTTAGTAATGCTATCAAGAAGTACAGCATTGTCCATGACTGAGAAACATCTAAAGAACACCTTGAAAATTGACCAATTCTTTCATATCAATTGACTGATTGGCAAATGTTTGGTATAGGGAAGGAAAATCTTCAGGATAAAATTCCTGCTGCCCATTCACATGCCAAATAAGATGCAAGAACAGCTATAAAGACAGAGGTGAAAAGTAAATTTCATAAAAAGCAGTTAATCAGCAATTGTTATTTTTCAGGTAAATTCCAGATGCAGGTTCTTCCTCAGTGTGGCCATGCTGTGCAGGAAGACACACCCGATCGTGTGGCTGAAGTCCTGGCCACGTTTCTCCTGAGACACAGACTGACAACTCCAAAGGCAGATTTCAACAGGCAAGTTGATTTTCTTCTTCTTCCTCCTTTTCTTCTTCTGATTGTTGATTTAGATGCAGGTTGGAGAATGAGGGAGGGCAAAGTATAGTAAGGAGAGGGAGAGGCTGTATGTGAGGAATTCATAGTATATGAATATATTTTTAGTGGGAACTTAATTTTTAATGGGCACACACACACACCACACCTTACACCCCCCTATATATATATATATATATATATATATATATATATATATATATATATATATATATATATATATTATATATATATATATATATATATATATATATATTATATATATATATATATTATATATATATATATATATATATATATTATATATATATATATATATATATAATATATATATATATATATATATATATATATATATATATATTATATATATATATATATATATATATATATATATTATATATATATATATATATATATATATATATTATATATATATATATATATATATATATATATATATTATATATTTATATGTTATATATATTTATATGTTTATATATATATTTATATGTTATATATATATTTATATATATATATATATATTTATATATTATTTATATATATATATATATATTATATATATATATATATATATATATATATATATATATATATATATATATATATATATATAATATATATATATATATATATATATAATATATATATATATATATATATAGAGAGAGAGAGAGAGAGAGAGAGAGAGAGAGAGAGAAGAGAGAGAGAGAGAGAGAGAGAGAGAGAGAGAGACAGGCAGACAGAGAGAGAGAGAGAGAGACAGAGGGGAGGGGAGGGGGAGGGGAGGGGAGAGAGAACAGATGGAAACAGAGACAGAGAGACAGAGACGGACAGAGAAAGTGTATATAGATATGTTCACAATGCTCTGTAAGGCTTGCCCTTGGCAATCACCCTGGAAATAGACACAGAAATTGATTACATTTGTGATGAAATAAATATTTATTTTGAAGAATATAAAAAATGATGCAACCCCATTTTCTTTGCAGGAGTTTTCCCGCATGTTGAAAAGAATAACGATCACCACTCAACTGAAGAAATTGTTTTCATGTAGTGTTGCAGCTTTGCTCTCTACAAATTACTCAAACAGTGATTTCCCACTTTATGAGAATTCTGTCACTTAAAAATCGTCTTTGTGTGTCCTTTCTTGTATTAGACTCATTAGTATTGTGTAGCTAGTATGTGTATTTATGTTTATACTAAAGATATGTACTATAGAAAAAGTATATAAAAAAAAGAAAGAAAGAGAGAAACAACAACAGGGAAGAAAAACAGATGAGGAGAATTGCTTTAAGGAATTTACGACAGGCAAAAGGTTGTTTTGTTTGCTTTCAGTGTTTTTGTTTTGTTGTTGTTTTTTAATTTACCTTATTTGTGTGGCTATGGATGACACTATAGTCTAGCATTATTTTTCCGTCCTTTTCCCTTGTGGTATTCCCACCTGTGTCTGGATTGTGCTGTAGGAAGTTAGAAATCATGCGTTAACTACGGAATATTGTTTTTATAACTGCTTCCTTACGTTTTTTAGAAATTAGATTTGAATTTTGATATCAGTGAAAGCATAAAGAGTAATCTCGATAGTTGGGAGTACATTATTAGTGCCAAAGGGACTCAAAATTAAAAAGAATTAATTTTGAAATTTGATAGGTTGTTTGTAGGGATATAGATTACAGTCACTTCTTTTTGTATCTGAACAGTTGCAGAAGCTTTCCACAAGAAGTATTTGAGATATTTTCACATTTGCCAGTGCTCTGTCCATGAGGGGAGGATACTGTGTTTTTTAATTATTATTCATCCTTTATTAAAACAGTGTAGATCTAAGTGGAAATATTTGATAGTTGCAACAGCATTTAAGTTTGTGCTAATATTTAGTGAGTTTCAGGTCAATAATATGTAAGTTGCTGCTTGAATTAGTACAACTTTAAAGTTAAAGTGTCTGTAAGGCTAAGCACTTTTGTCCAAATATTTTTACCGGAAACAATTTGAAAATTACAAAAGTTGGGATGAAAGTAA